TATATATATAGGAAACCTTAAGAAGGGATCCCCATTTTTAAAAAAAAAAAGGATTAGGTGTGGGGCTCACTTCATATCGAACTTTAACGATCCGAACCGTTTATTTTTCAAGTTACACCTCATAGATCATCCTTGCAAAGCATTAGCCAAATTAGAAATGTTTAAAACATCTCATTGAGTTCAAAGAAATTAACCAATACTTTGTTATATAAGAAACAATGAAATTTTATCTTAATAATTAAATAGACAAATAGTTTCAAATTAATTGAATTTTTGTAAGGATGATCTATGAAACGAGACTTACAAAATAAACAGTTCGGATCGTTAAAGTTCGATATGGAGAGGGCCCCATACCTAATCCCCATTTTTTTCAAAAAATGGGGATTCCTTCCCTTAAAAAGCCTGTATGTATATATATTGGTTATTTTATGAGAAATCTGTTAATATCTTCGTTAAATTACCACGTGAACAACTACGTGACCTCCTTTATAAAGGTATTTTTGTCAAATCAACTCCTCTGCTTAACAAGGATATTAATAGTTTTTCACAGTTTTATGGTGAACGAACTCATGGACTATTCCTATTGATTTTCATTGTTAGGGACCAAAGTGATGAGTTATGTCAATCATAGAGACCATTTTAGCTTAAAAAGCCCATAATAATGTGATATGTAGAGAAAAAAATTACACATTGTATTATTGAATAGAAAAATCATACTTGCCCAAAAAAAGCTTGATCTTTCTGTATCAGGTTTATGTCATAATTTATGTGAATGAGTTACACTAAACACAATACTTTAGGTACATAAGCGATCGTAAACTCTTAAGTCAGGTAAATTCTATTCAAATCAAAATTCATCGACACTTATTAATGTTTACACATACATAAGCGACTCATGCTAGCCGTTTCCTACTTGAACAATGACGGTAAAATATAAAGCACAAAAGAGTACAAAACACACCAGAATTCTATATATCCCCAATGTTCTATGCAAATAGGGGAAGGAAAAAAAAGTGTTCCATTCCATGTTTCTTTTAATTCAAAGCGAAAGTTTGGAGGATTGAAGTTAAATTGAAGTTCACGTAACATGAAGGGGTTTCTTGACGTAAAAGGGAGCATCAGATTTCATTCATTTGTTGAGAGGTGGGTGGGAAGGATGAATGGTTGGAGAAATTTTTTAGTGTACCGATAATACAACTTTGTATATCAAGTGTTATAATACAAATGGTTAGAAATTTATCTTTAAGTATCCAATCACTTATATTTTAACATTTGATATACCTAGTCGTATTCTGAAACATAAAAATCTCTCGAATGGTTGAAGTGGCGGTTGAGAAACTCTTTGCTACTTGCTTTCTTGTTCCGGGGAGCCTTTCAACCGAGACTTAGTAACCCAACAATATTATTACACAATTATCTACTAATCATTATTAGTTTCTTATAATTAAGTGGCAGCAGATTCTATTTGGTCAACAGTATATCAGAAGAATATTAAAAAGAACAAAACAAGGCATTTTTAAAAGATATATTCATTGGGTTGGTTTACATTACACGCTACTCAAACTTATATCTTGTTAAACTTCATCTTGTGGTTTTTGACACAACAAAGTTGATGTTAGAAAAAGTCGAGTAAAATTCACATATCATGTCGTTATTCATACAAAAAAGCAAAGCTTTTGCACAAATAATATAATTGTCGAGTTTTTTTTTCCATGCAAATTCAGATTTCGCATACTTTTAGGAGGGAATAATCAAGTTGCTGGTTGTTTAGCCAATTATTAATCACCTCTGTGTTCTTTAGGGGGATTCATGTACTCCTGCGTTGCATCGGCTTATTCTTACATAACATTTCTCAACTTCCTTGTTATAGGTTTTGTTCAAAGTGAGTTTGTTTTTTTTATTTTTGTTCATGACTTCTTTCAAGGTCACATTTAGGCTTCTATATCTTTTAAACTTCAGAAAAATTAACAAAAAATCCAAAAAAACTTTAGTTTTAATGAAAAATGACAAATAAAGGTGTAGTGAATAGTATCAGAAAAACATAAAAATATAATTTTTCGTTCAAAGTGAACAATATCAAAAATGTTTGGTTAAAACTTCTCTTTAACTTTTTGTTTATTCTACGCAGGAGACTGCGTAGACTGAAAAACAAAGTAGAAAAGAAAATGAATTAGCCAAAAGACCAGATGGACGGAAAGAGAGAGTTCTAAATAGCAATGTGATTTATGACCTTTTTATTTAGTATTTAAAATATAGTATAAGAGGTACTTTCCAGTTCCAACCAAGCATGAAATAGTTGACTGTGATATGTCATCACCACATAGGTTTAAATTCCAATCAAGAATTCAAACTATTATTTCCTTGCCAAAACAATCCCCAACAATTATTCCCACGCGCATTGGAGATGGAGAACTTATTCGGATTTGCTGGGACTAGAGTGGTGCAACAACCCAAGTTGTACAAAATTTCAGAGACATTGAAATGATGCTAAAATTATTTATTTAAAGTTTAATTGGATTAATAGTTTCCGGTGATGGGTTGTAGAAATATAGCACATTTGATAAAAAAGTTAGGATTTAAATCAATGTTGTGAAGTTTGTTAGGATTTACACTCAAAATTAAAAGTTTTATCAATTATCTGTTAATTGTTAACACGTGAACCTCCAAACTAAAAGTTTCGTTTTAGCCTCACATGTATGGCTCACGTGCTAACAATTAACGAATAGTTGATGAAATTTTTAATTTTGGATTTAAATCCTAACAGACTTCATTTCATAAGTTTAAATTCTAATTTTTTTATCACATAAGTTATATTCCGATTACCTTATCACCATGTAGACTAATAGTTCAATTATACCTTTATTTAAAATTGAACAATATTTGGTTACTCAAAGATGAGTAGGGACTCCTACTCAAAATTTCTCAAAATTGTTTGTTGTCAATTTATAGAACCTCATGTTTTATAATTAGAACTGTTCATATTATAAATCACCATATAAAGATAGCCTTTGCAAAAAAATCAATTAAAACTAAGGTCATTTAATTATCAAACTGTTTAAAAACAAATGAATGGTATTGGTAAAAACATTACACACTGTCTATGTATTTGTTACAATAGATTGACTAAACGACCTTAGTTTTAATTTTTTTGTTTTTTTGCAGAGATGATCTTTACAGTGTGGTTCATAGTATGAACAGTTATGATCACAAGCACAAAGCTCCGTGATTAAAACAATAAAATTTTTATGTAGAAGTTCCCACTTATTTTTGAATAGCTAAGTATTTTTCTTTAAAATTTTGCAAGACTTTATGACCACTATCGTCCAAGAAAGTATGGCCCGACTAGCATTGAGAATTACTGATGAATAGAAAAAATATTGTGTGATTACGACGTGTATCCTAATCTAACATTTTGAATTTAAAACTTTTTTGGTTACTGTATTAGAAGTCAAAATTTATTTTAATCACTGCATTTTTAATTCAGTCAATTAATCGCTATGCTGTTAAAGTTAACAATTTTAGTCACATCCTTTAGTATGCAGTTTATATATTATCCATTAATTGAATAAAATTAAGAAAAAAATAATTTACAAAAAACTTAAAATTCATTTTATAAATAGAAATATTGAAGAAAAAAAAAAGAATTAAGAGATTGGGGGCATGGGGGGAAACTTACAGAGGATAGAGTGGAAAGCATTTTGGCTCGGATTTAACTTTGTTGTTGAAGAATTCAGCAGCAGCTAAGTCCAGTTCTTTTGGGTCACCGACATATAATCAAAGCAAATCCATTGAGTTAAAAAAAATGTGGCCTTTATATTGAAACCCAATACGATATAACCTTTATTATTATTTTTTTGGTAAAAAATCCCAATATAATCAAATTAAGGCTCATTTGGAAATATTTTGAAAATGACTAAAAACACTTTTAAAGAAAATGTTTTTAGGTTTCAAAAACACTTGAAATGCTTCAGCAAAAAGTTTCAATTATGTGTTTCTTGTAGGAAACACTTTTAAGTGTTTTTTTTTTCTCTCTCTGCAGAATTCACTTGCAAATTTACTAAGAATTGGTTCTAAAATATTTTTGTCAAAAACGCTTTCAACCATTTTATGAGCATTTCCAAACCAGCCATAACTATAAGATATTTGATTAGAATAGACATATAAACCTAACAAGCAAGTAAAGTGCAAGTGCAGTAGAAATGTTGGGGGAGGAGTGGTAGGACCACCACTCTTTGTCTAATGCATTGTACAGGAAGAATCTGGTAAAGTCGCAAAATGTATATCCAATTGAGAGAAGGAAATGATGAGACCCTCCAATTTGGAAGTACCATTTTTTCTGCTGGTTTTTCAAGTTTTAAATCCAGAGGGCGGAAAAGCTTGTTGATGATCATGAAGCCGACAAAGTTGTTCAATTGGTTATCTCTTCACCCGGGCCCATAACTGATGGGGACATTACTGTATTAACACCCATGGGCCATTGATTTGAATTGGATGTGGGGCCATGATTTCTTGGGCCCAAGCTGCCACTGTGCACGAGCTATATGGTATTCGAGTTGCAAGTGGAAGCCATGGTTTTTGTAATTTTTGTTCAGTAGTCTGGACTACTCAGTAGTACAAAAAATGAACGGTTATAATTGAATTAAGAAAATATTATTTTTAAACTACCAAAAAATATACCTTTTTTTATTATTTTCCAATCAAATGGATATAAAATTGGACTACTATTCAGTAATACGAAAATGAACGATTATAATTGAATTGAGAAAATACTATTTTTAAACTACCAAAAAAACATACTATTTTTAATTCTTGGCCAATCAAATGGATATAAAACTGTACCACCCAATACTCCGGACTTTTGAAGACTTACTCCGATTTTCGCATGCAATGGGGAATGAATGTAAAATGAAAATTCGACAAAGTTGCCTAACTAAGACAACTTTCATGTAGGAGAGCAATTTACATAGAGCATCATGTTTTAGTTCAATAATATGATGATGTGAAGAAAAAGAAAATTACACATAACATTGCATTATTGGACCAGAATGTCAAAATAGCGATGAACACTTTCGCATGCAAGTCCTCCAAACACTTGGTGGGATGAGTGTATTTCGTATCCCGCGTAAAGTGATACACATCAACTTAATGAAGAGAGAAGAAACATGGTCCATGTCTAGTAGGGAAGGGTGAAACCACTACCAGTAAGATAACATGACACCAACTCTTACTTTAGGCTCAGAGCAGTGATGTTGCTCCATGCACATAGCTGTAATACCGCACGTCAGAGGAGCTGGCAATGCATCACCAGGATATCATAACGTAATGCATCACCGGGATATCATAACGTTTGCCAGAAACTCACGTAACCTTTTCTACGTCTTAGCTTCTTTCTTTTGTAGACTACAAGATCTTAGTAACAAACAAGAAAATATTTGGGGGAGGGGGAATGAACATAGAAGAGCAAATACCTCATTCTGCAGATAGGTTTCCATACTGCCATGGGTTGAATTCAATTGATGTAACATCAACCGTATCAATGGAGTCAGAGCTATCAATTGTGGCTCGGTGTTCAGTGTATTTATTGTTATATTGATAGACTTCCAAGTCACCCCAAGGTGTAGGTGTAACTTCCTCTGTCAAGTCAAACCATCTTGGCCTAAACTGATGCTGCTTGGCCTCTCGCTCTCTCTTTTCAGCTCTCTGCCTCTCCTCCAATCTGAAAAGAAGAAAACTGGTAATCAAGGGACAACCAGTTTTTCGGGGGAACAAAGACTCAATATGCATTATGACCAATTATGTTAAATTGAAACAAACTGATGGAAGTTTTGCTAAAAAGTTCCAACATCATCTGATTCCTTAATGGAAATAACACAAAATCCTTTTTTGTTTACAGAGAGAGAGAGAGAAAGCGAGACCTGCCCTTTTCTGCACCAGATTTGGACAGATCCCCCTTCTCAAGTGCATATCTATCAGGCCGCAAACGAGAGTCTGATGCCAACAACTTTTTAGGAGCAGTGTCAAAGCTATTTATTTTATGTGCAAAATAAGTGTACTGAAATTTGTCATTCTTTGGAACATCGGCAACATGCCAAACCTGCAGAAAAGATAAATGTATACTCTTCAGCATCTTGCCCAGCGAACTTAATTGAAATCATAAAAGGTATGATCCACTTTAAAATAAGGTTCCAGAAACAGAGAGCCTAGCGAACAAACTACTCATTATCTTATTGAAACTTTTGTTTCTGTACCAAAGGACGCAGCTGAAACCTGACATACAAATACTAGTGACGACTTTCACTAAGCATGAATAAGTAACACGCTTTTACCACACTGGTGGGACACTAGTTGTCTTTAATTAATCACACACTAACTATAATTGGTCATCCAAGAAATAATAGCATCAAAATCTCTTAATTATGGTCAATATATGCATGCGTGTGTGTGTAATGTGTATGCGGGCGTGTGTGATTTAACTCCAAGAAAGTAAATGTACATGTTGCAGATTAAACTTAAACCGCCTGTATAAAAAAAAAATGTCACGGCCAGAGATTTCACCCTTTCCACAGCACCTACTCGAAAAATTAGTACAAAATTTCAATAACAGACCAAATTATACAACAAAGACAGATTCCATGAGCAACCTCTTTTAATTCTGTGCCTGGAAGGGGTTCCCCTTCCAAATCACATGGTTGATAACTCAATGACTCGTTCCATTTCCCAGTCATCAATATCTGAGGTTCCTCTGCAGCATTATAAACATATCCATCCACTTCATAGCGGCCAGCTCTGCAACCAAATATAACTTTTAATTGTACACCACTAGCATGGTGACAAGTGACACAAAAGAGAATGGATAACTACTAAGATGGTCGTATTCACTAATTTTGGGAGCTACCGATGGACATTAAAAAAGTGTAACAAATCTTTTCTAATTGTAGTTGATTGTATTGGGATAGATTATTTACAGATCCAATAAATCATTTAGAATGAAGCAGCCTTCTTGACCTTGTAATTTATAGTGACATTTGAAGCCATACATTAAGAGAAAAGGCAGGGTCCGAAATCTATAGAACATTGTAGATAGTTCTAATCCCTCTAGACCAAAGAATGTACCAGCAAGAATTAACAAGGCTACAAAACAATTGAATAATTCATGGACAAACGAGCAGATGTTTCATGGAATTCAAAGAAGAAAATATACCCAAACCAGCCACATGGCTGAAAATATATCACAACTTTGTCCCCAGTCGTCAGATTGGTCATGACCATCTCCCCTGGTGAATCAACCCACGTCCGGCCAAATATTAAGTTGTTTACCTTTGTGGGAGGTGGCACTAAATCTAAGACAACACCATTTCTTTTAAGAGTCACACGTGTTCTGCAAACAAACCAATAGTACGCAATTATATATATTTTACCAAAACTTCCAGCTTAAAACGATTAACAAGATATAGGAAACATGATGATGGAAAATAAAAGTACACTTGAAATTAATAAAGTTTCACAAAACAAACCATCTGCATCAACAAAAGTACAAACCAACAAATCGAATCGACAAACAAATGTCCATAATAAAAAAACAATTCACCTAATCTCTTGATATATGAGTCGCCATGTATTGATATAAAAATACAACTCTTATAAGAGCAAAGCTAAAGCAGGTCAATCCCTCACTAAGAATTAGCTTTAGAAATCGCTCAAAAAACGGAACAAGAGGGATAAACGAAAACCCTTCTATTCACACACGGTAATGGCATCCAAAATGCAAACTACAATGTTTGGGAGAACATAAAATAGGTTCACAACTAAATATTTGTTAAAGGAAACATGAAAGCTGCATATTACCTTCCAACAGGGTAAACATCCAGCGAATTCCCTAAAAATTTAGTTTTAAGTTTTGAAGTCACATCATAAGTGAAATGCTCATTCTCTGCATGCCCAGCACTCATTGGTGGATGATGACTCACCTGGAATAATGATGTATGATGAATCATTTAACATTATTTATAGTGTTAAACGGAAGACAGAAGAACATGCAAGAAAAACTAATGAGGAAGCACTTGAAATTCTACAAATGATTACTCAGACGTATAGAATAGCTTTAGGGTTGGTCCATCTCTTGAAGGTTCTCCCAAAATATCTTTTGCAAAGTTCTCGCAGAAAGGGTCTTTTTAGAGAGGTTCTGAAATCAAGCTTCTCCAGGAAGATGGTACTTTTGCTTATTGAGTAGGGCAAAGGTCTAACGACCTCAAAACTCTCAAATGCTCATACTCAGGACAACTAAAAGACTTAGGACAGTGGTATCCCCCAAAAGCTCACCTGCTCTGCAATAAATGTTACCCCTGAGTGATTAACCATTTCATAAGTCTCCCCAAGGATAGGGTTGAATGGCTTCCATGTCCGCTGGTAGGCATAGTAGACCGATATAGCCCATGATGCTGCAATGAATAACATACAGTCATGCAAACAGTAATACTTGCACATGAACTGCAAAAAAAAAATCAAATGAAAGGCACTCACTGGCAAACACCAACTGCATATAAGGATCCTCACATTCATCAGCACGATCCAACAAGTGTGAATACTCCATTAACTGTCACAGACATTGCACAATTTATACAATAATCAACTATAAATACAGTGTGCATAAAATCCCAGGCATACCAAACTGTGCAGATATTAAGTAGCACAAACCTCAGCCATCTTCTGCAACATTGTCATCGGCTCAAAAATAAGTACAGGAAGAGTCACCATTGATGTCACATCTGAGCCAATATACTTCTGCATCATCCTCCAGTAACTATCTCGTTCCTTAAACAGTGAAAATGCAGAGAGCTCAATGTTTCAGGATGAATAAGCCATGCAGGCTAAGAATAATGAACAGAATTTCATATTTGAAGAATAAAATCAGAAGCGATGCAGTTTATTAATTAATGTTAGGATGCCTATCACAATGGCAAGACCACCTAGATTCCACAAGCTTTGCACTTTAATTGCTGGATTAAACATGAAAATGGCAAATTACAACACCTATATATGAATATATAAAATAAAGATGACATGCCTTCCCAAACAAATAGCCAACCAACATATAAAAACACAGTTGAAATAGACAATACTTTAACTCCTAACAACCCACTTATCAGCAAGAAAATGGTAACGAAGAGCAACATATCCCTTGAAAGATAGAAAGTAGAAACAAAAAAATCATAGTACCTCCTGCTTCCATCTTCCTCTTTGAGCTTCCTCCTCTGCATCTTCTTTGCCTCCCTCTGGATTGATGACTTCCACCCCTTCATAACCAAGCAACCTAAAAGCAACAGGAAAGCCAGATTCTCAACCAACAGAACTCACTCCTTAATAACATATCATAAGGACTAGGGCATATTTTTCATAATTAGTAAAGTACACAAGAAAATGAATGTAGCGCACAAATGTACAGAAAAAGCACCCACAATATAAGTAGCACGATGACGATGAACATAAAAGTTATATATATAATGGCTCAATCAGAGAATTAATATGATGCTTACTCTCTGGTATATCAGGAAAATTCATTATAATTTTAAATGTTTTAAAAACATAAGTAAAATCGAGTTTGTACCAATATCTATAATAAGAAGAATTTCATTCCCAGTTAAAGACCTGCCTCTTTAATAACTAGTGGAGTATTATCCAAGGCACCCTTACCTAGCAAGTAATAAGCACTTCTTTGTTCAAATACTTTATAGCAAGAGAATTATGTTAACGACTATAAGTCTATAACATGGAAGAACCATCTAATACTGGCAGACTATCTGTGCATAAACATCAAAACTACATGACCAATTTTTTTTATACAAATCTAAGTTTGTAGGACCCTAATGATCTTAGATCACATGCGAACACACATACACAGAGTACTCGTTCTAAACTCCAACATAAGACGTCTCATCAGCTGATTAAAACACTAGCTCAACTGTCCCCTAGCAAGGGAGACACCTGAGGCTCGATCAAACAAAAAAACAAAAAAACAAAAAACACTAGCTCAAGTAAAAAATCCAACTTGTATCGTAATTCAAAAGCTGATACAACCACATTGTCTCTTAAACCCTTCTAAACCAGAATTCAGTATCCTGGGTATGATCACTAATCAAACCACGAAATGCTACTTGGTGAAAACCCAAAATTTCCATTCACTATCCTTGTTACGACATCTAATCAAAACCAAAACTTTCCATTCAACAATTCACTATACATCACAGTCATCAAATGCAGTCCGAAACCCCGAAAGAGTGACACATTTCGGTAAAAGAGTTGGACCGAATCCGATCACATGAAAAATAAAAAATTCACAGCTCAATCAAATTACAGAACCTAAACCAAACCAATAACTGATTACGAGTATATGTACAGAGGAAACAAACAATCAGGGTTTGACGAAGACGGCATGAGTTTAATTCCAAAGGAAGAAAATTTCAAGTGCAAAAATGAATTACGAGAAAGGAAGAAAAAAGCTAACCCGCCAACGGATCGGTGCATGGCGTTGCCGAACATGGAGAGGCCAGAACTCATGGCTGCGAAGAAGCCCTTGCTCTGATCCTTCTCTGGGCTACCCATCTCTCTCCTCTCTCTCTCTCTCTCTCTAGATTCTGTGCCAAATGTTAAAACCCTAATTCGAAAATTGGAAAATGAAAGGGAAGAAAAGTACGAAAAACAGAGGAAAAGCGTACGGAAATTTTGCCAATAGGATTAAGAAACGAGGAACCTAGAAACGGAGAGAGGGGAGGCAGGTGGGGGTAGAACTGTAATTTCAGGATAACAGCGAGGACCTGACGCATTGGCGATTACCTTTGGACGTTTGACGTGTCATTAGTTAAAAATAAAAACTCTACTAATTTATTAATTAATAATCACGTCATATAATTTTAAAATTTAATGTACATCCTAACATAATTGAAAATCAAACGGTTTTAGAAGCCTTTAACAAAACACACGAATTCTACGTAGCCATGTATATTTTTACGAAAATACTCTCAACTTATACTCGATATAAATTCATATATTATAAAATTGTAAATCAACTCAATACTATATATTGATATGGTATCAATGTATTGTTGTTATTATATCAAAATATTATTAGTATTGTATTAATATGTTGTTATTATGGTATCAATAAAGTTAGGGGTATTTTCATGTCTTTATATAACCATTTTGGCAAATTAGTACAAATGAAGTATTAGTATACTTCTAGATGGTATTGTGAAGGTTGTTAGGACTTGAACTGTTTGTATAAATTATTTTGTTAGACATTGTTCCTTGTTTAATGTTGTGCTCGAACCCATAATGTAAATATATTGTTCGTTCTATTAATAAAATTACCAAAACATTTTGCTCGGTCTTGAATCCAAATATGTAAAAAAAAGAATTAGAATAAGATCAGAATTCAATTTCTTTCATCGTGACATTAAATGGAGTTAGGAATAAGACCGAGCTTCTTAATAACAGTAAACGGTGTCGTTTTGGGCGTTGGTCTTTTAGAACAATCTGGATACCTAACTTTACCAGCAGCAGCACCGAACTACTTACTCCCAACCAAAAACCCAATCGCATCAGATCTACAGCGAAGCTCTTCCATTTTCTATTCAATTATTTATTTTTCAAATTTAATCTCTCTCTCTCTCTCTCTCCGCCCAAATCCAAAACCCTAGCGAGCTCTGATCGTCCGTCTGCAAGGTCGGCAGAAACCCACTGACTTGTGTGAAGGTTTGCGGCGGATTTTATTGATTCCAGTAAAAGTTTTGCGCTTTTTCGAAGCATGAAAGAAGGTAAATCAGTGAAATTGAACGGTCAACAGCAGCAGTCGCAGCAGCACCAGAACGGTCACTTGTCGCCGTTCAAATTCGCCAAGTTGTTGGATCCGGAAGCTACGTGGGACAAGGTACTACAACTTCCCCATGGTTGATCACTGAGATTTGTTTGGTTGCCGGGAAAGTTTGATGGAGAACGAACTAGAAAAAGAAGTTTAAATCTTGGGTATCTATTGAAGCATTGCAATTTATAATGGGTTCCCGAGATTTTGGAATTTAAGGGCAATATTGAAACGCTCAATAATGAGCAGAAACTGTTGGGGAGGATTAATAAATTCTGCTTTGGTTAATATTTCGCATGGCTTTCTGATTGCCCTGTTAGTAACTTTGACTTGAATGATTTACTTTGTGTGTTTGTGTATGTGTGCAGGATCAATTGGGAGATGTCTTGCATTGGATTCGACAAGCAATGGCCCTCGCTTGTGGGCTGCTGTGGGGTGCAATACCGTTGGTCGGAGGTATATGGTTCGTCATGTAAGTTGATGATTGCACACCTTCTTCATTGTTTATCACAGTTTCCATTTACTCGACGCCATCATTGTTTTGTGTTGCTAATCGGTGATCAGCTCGTTTGGCGAGAATACTCATTCGGATCATTAGGAACCCATCAAATCAAATCTTAGGCAGGAATTTCCCAATGGAACGTTGTTAGCCTAATGCTAAGAAATCAGTAGTAACGGACTTTAAAACTTGTTTGGGGCTGCCGTTATTTGGATCGTCAAAGATAATTACAATTACGCAGAGACTTAGATTCTCTAGGCTGTAGGTGTTACTTTCAAAACGTAAAACAATTCATTCATGATTTGTATTTAATCGTTAGGGGTGTTGAGTTCAGAAGCTTATTGCTGCTGAGAATCTTAATAGCCTAGATGAACACTAGTGGATTCTAATTTTAGAAAGTTGTTCTCCGAATCAACATATTAAATGAAGAGCTAGTGAACTATTTGAGTCTTGCCTTCTTTGGGGATTATGTGAAGAAGCCATATAATGTCATAGAGCAGTTACAGCAGCTACCTTATTGAAACGTATGCTAGAAGAGTTACCCAGTTAAACTTTAGTTTTTGTAAATCATATTGCTTGACATGGTCATGGCCTTGGTGAGTTCAACTGTAAAGCTGGAGCATTCATCAAATTGCTTCTGCAATATTGTAGTTTTCAAAAAGAGATAATTGCCATAACTTGGAACTCAGTGCAGACAGTTTTCAGTTTACTGTATCAAGTTGATAGGTTTACGCAGAGTTTCAGGCCAAGAGAAAGGAACATGTGCCCAAATTGGATGTCATTACTTCCCACATAATCGTTTTATCTTTTGATGGTTTTGAGTTTTCACTAATGTAGCATATGCTTCCACTGTCTTCTGATAACATTTTTCTTTTTCTCAAAATTATTGTCATATATAATCATTTTATGGTTTTTTTTTTTCTCTCTCACAGTTTTCTGGTGATATCAACTGGAATTATATATGGCTACTACGCAATGATACTCAAGGTTGACGAAGAGGACTTTGGTGGTCATGGAGCTCTTCTCCAAGAGGGGCTTTTCGCTTCTATAACTCTTTTTCTGGTAATTTTCGTACTTTTACGGCCTCTTTCCCCTTGAGAAATTACGACCTTGTATAAATTAAGATTAATCGGTTTCCTTGATTCATTGACCTTTTTCTCATATCCCCTTGTTTCTGTTTTTCAGCTTGCCTGGATTCTAGTATACAGCTTGGGACACTTCTGATTCGCTATCCATCCATTATCGCCATCATTTCCATTGCGGTGGTGTTCAGCTATAGGACTTTGGTTGCATGAAGAACGATAACCTTGGATACGATGAGAAAGTTCCCTTTAGAAGTCGTTAAGTCATTACTGTTTCCTCGTTTCTCTATGATTAAGCAAACGTTATTAGTATGGTGATTAGATGTTCGGGTCAATGTTCCTTCAAACGTCCACGCAATGTAGCAATGTATGGCCTGCACAGAACTGATGATAATCAAAATTGTTTTGGCAGCCTCAAATAAAAGTACCTGCAAGCATTATTCTTGTAGATTTAGCTGACAATCATTTCTGTGCTTGAGCAATTTTTGAGTGTGACGAGACGACGCGCAGAGTACGTTATATGCAGGATTTACAGTCGTTATGGACTGTATTGCTCAATGAGTAGTTTATCTTCAAACTCGGCCTAAAAAAATCGGGCCCCGGTTTCACGAAAAGCAGGAACAACTTTTGTGGTTAGTCCCAAAATTTGGATGTGAAACTTTGGGAGTCTTCATTTCAACACAAATAAACGAAAGGCATCATATTGTCAATTTGGACTACACACGCAAATAAGAATTTATGCAATCAGATCGACAATTTGATAACGTAATATGTCATATTTTATTCAAAATGAACATTTCCATTAGGTGGAACTCCCTACTGTATATACCGAACGATAATATCAGAATGCGATCGAAGAAACTCAGCTGTCGAATGACCAATGACAATAACTTGTGAGAAATACATTCGGACTGGCTCTATTCAGGTAAGATTGAGGTTTATTACATTATAATTTGGAAAGAAGATGACTTGAATGAATTGTCCTACTGTATATAAGCTTCCAATATGCATTTGTCCTTTGGAGTTCGAAGACATTTATAGCCGTCTTCGGAGTTGGCTTCTGCCTCTTCGCGAAACAAGATAGATACGGCCGTAGACCCATCTTCTACCGAGTGGTGAAACAGATTTCTGCACAAAAATAACCTCCAATGTGAGCAAAAAACATACTCAATGATTTGATTCTATAAAATGGCAATGGAACATATATCTTTTCGAACTCCTACATCCATTCAGTAATCAGAGAACCTATCAACATTTCAAAAACATAAAAACGGAAGTATCAACAGAACCAAGGATTTGACCCGGGCAGTTTAGCACCATGAGAAGAGGGAAGGAGGCACTTTGCCAAGTGAGAAAGTGAGGCCATTTACCACAAAACCTCACAATACCTAAGATACACAATGCAAGAGCGATGCTATATATATCACATTTCTGACATATCTTACATAAGCAGGATCGACTTCCGTAAGAGATATGATTAGCAATGTTTTAAATAAATGTAGTTTTATTGAAATTGCCAAGAATATTCGGTGCGAGGATACTTTCCAATCCTGCTCAGTTACCCTTTACAGAAGCCATTTACAGTAATAGGTTCTGGGTGTGTACTGGTTAAGATTATGAATCCTCAATTAAATTACTGATATTTGCTTTGGATTTTCTGATAATTGTTTTCAGACCTTTACAAAATAAAAACAAATGTTAAACATATGAATTTTCGGATGTGAGAAACAAAAGAGAACTACGTTACCTCAACCTTGGTACGGAACTCTAACAAGCATTCACACACATGACAATTTGCTCTATGCGGTGAGTTATTAGACTGATCGGATTCCACAAATGCAAACACCTACAGAAATATTATGTTGAAATCAGAAGAAGAAAACGGATGCCTAAAAAATTAATTGTTTTTAGAGTTCTCAGACTGAATCAACTGACCTCATCGCCACAATTTGGGCATACCCCTTTTAGTGCCACTAAGTCATTTCTCCATAGGCCTTTAAGTACTTTAACTGTGAAAAAGGTCACTTTAGAATATGCTGACACTTCAAACAATTATAATATCATTGAAATTTATACATATTCCTAATCGATACCCAACACCCACAGTACATAGCAAAAGAATTTGACATCATATTTGAAAGAAAAAAAAAAGGAAAGAAAAGCAAAATTCCACAACATCTAAAATTCTTAATGCTTTAGAAGAGAATGGATGCAGGTTTACTTACCGGAAGCTGATGCAATTGGGTAACCGATAACACAACCCAGTGTCATGAAGAGAATGGAATTTAGAATGGAAAGAGCAGACGCTTGGTTTATATAAGAAAATCCCGGATTGAAAGCATCTTCATAAGCTAGTCCCACAGAGTAAACTATGGGCACAAGACACGCTGAAGTGCCAAAAGCAAGAAAGACGATCCAAATGCTCGCTAATGCAAAAACCTGTGATAAATCTTCCTGCCCTACATCCATGTCACTCAATATTCAAGGGGAGAAAGAATGACAGAATCCACTTTTTCTATTCACCAAATATCATAGCATAACAAATCGTCCAATAACAAAAACAGTTTGGTTTATAACTAACGTCGCAGTTGGTAACTGAGCCACATACATGAAGGGACGATTGTCAACAACTGATGTATGTAGTTCTGCGCCAAGTCTCATGAACATACATCAATACTGACAATCATCCAAACGCACGAGCAAACACTTTGTTTGCTTATTTAACCAAATGAGTGGCAAACTATCAAATCCCAATTACCCTATCGTCAATTCGAGCATAACTATACTTTCATTTCCTCTTATCTTCCCATATTTTAAAGCAATATTCATGAATTAATGCCAAAATTAGAAACAACACTTCAAAAAAAAAAAAAAAAAACTCAATAAAAACCAATTACCTCAGCATCTGCATAAGTTGATTGTCTCCTAAGACTACAACGTGGGTATTTCATGACGCATTTCGAGCCGTACCATCTTAGCTTCAACTGTTCTTCCAATCAATTGCAAAATTTGTCAACAACAAAAACCAAAACTTGAAACAAAAAACATTGGCCTGTCAAAAATCTATGAACTCATAAGTCACAGAATCATACCTCTACTCTATCAAACATGTCATCAACTATCAAAGGGTCGCCACTGTAATACGCATCACGTGCCTGCCACGTGCACCACCAATCAATCAAATTTCAAAATTCATCCAAACCCAGAAAATTAAATTTAGTTAATTGCAGGAAAAAAAAAATATGGAAGGGGCTTACTTGGCTGTAGAGGGCTTCGAGGGTTTCCTTGCTGGCGGTTTCGATGGGGCCGACGTAGATACAGTAGGGGCCCTCGCGAGGGTATCGCGGGTCGTCGGATAGTTACCGCCGGAGGAGATTCGAACGGAGAACGGAGCTCCGGCGGTTCTAGGGTTTACTCTGGACCCCACTAAGCGCGGAGTGAAGGAGGCGCTCGTGGCCTGCCATGGAATTGGAGCTGAAGTAAGCGGTTGAGAGAGGGGAGAGAGAGAGAGTTTGGGCCACGGAAATGGTTTTGGCGCGTAAATATCTGGGTGGTTTGATTGGCTGTGGTTTGACGGCTTTGTGGTCGAAAGATGGAGAGGATGCTTTTCACGGAAATACGCGACGTCGTTTTCATGAAAGAAGGACAAAGCAAAAATGGAAAATTAAAAAAGACTGCGTTTGCCGGGAGTCGAACCCGGGTCTATTGCTTGGAAGGCAATTATCCTAACCGTTGGACTACAAACGCTTGCTGTTAAGTTCGTTTCTGAAAAGTTCCTAACCGTTAAAACTTGAAACATTGCAAGTTAAGAACTTTGCACAAAAAATTGGATTATTACTCACTTAAAAAAGAGTTTGTGTATACACAAATATTTTGAATTCCTTACCCAATGTATGGTTAGTGAGAAGGGTTAGGGCTGGTTTAGCATTGTTGAAATTATTTTAAAGGCTTTTTAGCCAAAATGGTCCCTGAGATTTGTATAACACATCATTTTGGTCACTGAGATTGAAAATCAATAGAAATGGTCCCTGAGATTGTCCACCGTCCAGTATTTTGGTCCTTCCGTTAAAAACTCCGTTAAGTGTCCCAGAAGTCTTGGCCGAAAGTTTGGGCAATTTTCAAAGCTTCGTAACTCAATCGTTTCTTAACCAAATTCGACCCATAATATATCAAAATGAAGATAGGAAAGTGTAGAACAATATTATACCTATATGGAGCCCAATGGTTGCCGGACATGGCCGGAAAATAGCCTGAAAGGGGACTGGTCCGCGGGAAAACTAGAAAACTCGCCAGAAACTGGGTAAACTTTAAATGTTCATAACTTTTTCAATACTCAACAAAATCGAGTGATTCAAAACAAAAATCATACTTCTCGACGAGACGAAGAGAATGTTACCTTTCTTGACAGCTAAATCGTAGTGGTTTGGCCGGAAAACGGTTTGAAAGTGGCAATCACTCGATTTCGTTGAGTATTAAAGAAGTTATGAACGTTTAAAGTTTACTCAGTTTCCAGCAAGTTTTCCAGTTTTCTCGTGGATCAGTTACCTTTCAAGCTATTTTTCACCCATCTTCGACAACCATTGGGCTTCCAAATAGGTATAATCTTGTTCTACACTTTCCTATCTTCATTTTGACATATTATGGGTCAAATTTGGTTAAGAAACGATTGAGTTATGAAGTTTTGAAAATTGCCCAAACTTCCATCTAAGAGCTCTGAGACACTTAATGAAAGGATCAAAATAATGGATGGTGGACAATTTTAATAGAAGGACCAAATTAATGGATGGTGGACAATCTCAGGGACCAAAGTGATGTGTTATACAAATCTCAGGGGCTATTTTGGCTACAAAAGCCTATTTTAAAAGCAACTTGTTAAAAAAGATGAGGTTCAAATTGTGTTTCGTAAATTAAGAAAATAAAAAAGTGATTTTTGTCAAAATCATGGATCCAAAACAGCAAAAAGCAGAAGCAACTCTACCTCTACTTTTGAAAACAACGTTTTTTTTCCCAAACTAGCCCTTAGAAGCTTTATTATCTATCATCACTCATGTAGGGTTATTTGTGTAAAATGCACAATGATTCTTTTTTCTAAAAGTTTGAATTTTAAATGCATGATCTTCGTTGACAGTGTGATCCAGATTAGTAAAATTCTACTCTTTTTATTTGGCAAAGGAATATGGAGTACTTTGCAATGTGATTTCAACGAGTGAGTTGTTGTTGCACTCTAAACAAGTCATCTTACACTTTCTTTGTATAAAAATACAAGGAAAAGATTGCATTGTGAGAAGTGTATGACAACTATTCTGGAGTATTAGTGACAGTTGGCTTTCGAGGAGCATGTATATTGACGATATATTGTTCTTGCCAAAGTACCAATGATGAAAGTTGAAGCTCTGTGATTCCAAATACCAATAATTTGTGAGTGAAAAAGAATAACCCTACAAAAGAAGGGGAAAAAAACTACAAAACAAAAGGTAATGCACACTACACCTCTCATCTGCCTAAGGCAAAATTTAAATACGCTGTCTCTCAAAGAAAGGATCCCACTCATGTTCCTCCACAGTCCCAAACAAATTGTACTTCCAACTCACTTTCTCTGCATAATCAAAGCTTGTGTTCTTCCCTTCTCTCATATCCTTCCTAATTGTTTCCACTCTCTCAAGAACCCCTTTAACCGCAATGTCAAATGCATCGTCAAGCGTCTCCAATCTAGACCCTGGATCTGCGTATATCACTCTCGGAATCAGCTTCACAACCTCCTCTCTCATCTCATAAACTTTCTGCCTCGGAATCTTTTGCAGTGTCCTCTCAATGCTCACCTTCCCGTTTTTTATGTCGAATGCTGGTATGAGGACTGAGTATTTGGTGTAGTCCTTAGGGAGTTGCCATACGTATTGGACGTACGCAGACCCTGGGTGGAAGAACACCGGAATGCAGCCTGCGAGGATGGAATCGAAGATTGATCTTCGGGTTAGAGAGTCTCCGGGAGGCTGTAGGCAGAAGACGGAGCCTTGGAACATTTTCATGACAAAAACAGGCTTGTGGCACTTGTCCGGACCAGTTGTGCATTCTAGGAGCTTGCATTTTCTCCTTGCTGCCCTGCATTGGTCTATGATTTCGTTGCGGATTGAATTTTGGAGATTAGGCCTAGGACCGCCTGCGAAGGAGAACAATATCCGCCGCTTCTGCCTCCTCATTCGGTTTTGCCATTGGAACACCTCATTGTCTTTTGAAGGGTGGAAGTATGTTGGATATGGTATGGCAAAGTCATTGCTGTTCCAAGGGCTGGATTCTATTGCCAACATTGTCATGTTTTTCGATTCAGGCAAAAGCATAAGCTTCGTCCCCCACTCCGAATCCTTGTCAGTCCATCTCCGAAAATCCCATGTAATTCTTCCTGCCACCATAAAATGATCTCTCCCCCACATTTTCTTCCACTCTGGTTTTTCTCTCAGCCATTTCGCAATTTCAAGTGAGCCAGAATCTCTCGTGGATATGCTCGATCCCCAAAGGTAGCGCGCCACGTCTAGGCCAGCGTAGTAAGGTACGAAAATTGCTGAAGCTAGTGACGAGTTTTTTGTCAAACAGTTGTACTGCTTCATTCGGCTGTGGAATATGACCTCTAGCAAGAACTGATTTGTAGCAAACCAACCAGTGTTTGAATAAACTTTTTCCAAATTCGAAAGACGGGGACCAAGGCCAAAGTTTGAAGCGAGCTCACACATGTCAGTCCAATTGCTAAGTGAACCACATTTCTTCAACAAGTCCTTGTTAAATTTGCTAGGGATGTCATGAACATATATGTACTTACCTGTGCATGATTCAGAAACGGATTCCGAATCCGATTCATCCCTTTTATCCAAATGTTCTTCTGGCTCAGCCTCTTCATCCCCGTTCTCAGATTCAGCTTTATTTTCTCTAGGATAGCGCTCTTGGTCATTACGGTCATGAGGCTCTGATTCCTTCTTAGATAGGTGCCCAAATTTTTCAATGCCGTGTTCTTCGATTCCGAAAACATCTTTCGTTCTCAAATTAAAAACCCCACCACTTCGGTCATGGAAAACGATGTTCATATGACCTTCATCTCTTGTTTTTGTGTTCCTACTTTCATTGGTTTCTTCAGGCAGAGAAACTGAATCACCGGAATTTTCAGACTCATTAGCAACAGTAACAGAAATGTCGATATTGTGATTACCTAACACTGCAATCAAGCTCTTTCCTACCATGAACTGCGAGTGGTATACACAAAGCAATAGAAACCATATAAGGAATGAGGCACATACAAACCAATATTGGTTGCGGCAGGCTGCGAACGTCACGAAAGGCCTTCCCATATTTTCACGAAAGGCCCTCAATCGTAACCTTTTTCGATTCGTCGTCGTAATTGTCTCCCTTGTGTAAACCTTGGATCAATGAAAATTAAGAAAACTCAATGGAACAATGTGAGAGGTACAAGAAATGGAACCAACCCAGGTAAGAAAAAAGGGAGAAAAAGAAACCCCAAGAGGAATATCAGAAGATTAATGGTGTTTTTGATTGAAAAAAAATGAAAATTTAATGTGGAATTAGATGCATTTGAGAAGCAAGAAAATGAAATGCATGGGATCCGAAAAGGTTTGCATGGCATGACTTTCTGCAGAAGAAATTAATGTCCGGTTTGCTTGGAAAGTAGACTGGAATTTCGAAGAGAGAGGGAATGAGATCTAATGGGGGACGTTGCTAAACAATTCATTGTAGCGTTCTAAATATACACAATACTCAATCAGTTTCTTGAAAAACCATCACACTTCATAGAAATTCACTTCAAACTTAATACTTTAGCAAAATTATTTTGTTCAACAATATTTTTAGAGTTTAGTTAGTTCAACATTTGGACTTTGTTATTTAGAATTAAGTATCAATCTTGCTATTTAGAAAAACTGAACTTAATACATTTTCACTTGCAAATTAAAAAAAAGAAGGTATTATTAGACTATAGCGGTATTGAATAATATCAAATGGTTAGTAAGTTAATGAGAATTGGTTAAGTTGGTAATAATAGTTTTCTTTACTAGATCAAGGCCTAAATTCGAGTCGTGCTAGTATGTCCTGACCCGAAATGGAGTAGACTCCCTTCTATATAATTTGTGTTTTTTTTTTTTCACCAAAAGAAATAATATCCAATGCCAAATGGTAAATAAATTAATAATCAATGTTTTATTTATTTTTTTATTTTTTTAACTTTTACAATGAACAACCAACATTTTAATTTTATCGAAGTAGTCAACCAGAAAAGCGGAAATACATAGTACAAATTTAGATTGTTGTTTCTCTTCTTCGAATTCTTTATCCACGCTCTATAAAATTAATCAATTTAAGTTCAAGAAAACCATGTAAACTTGCATGATAATAAACAATTCAACGTATTATTGCATGAATATTTTAGGCAACATTCAAATTAAAACCTATCATAAAATTGACTATGCAAAGACTAATTAATTAAAGAAAGTGTATGAAACAAATGATCATTTACTACAGTGGTGAAAATAAGTTGAGTCTTTGTATAAACGTCCAACCAACATTTTAATTTTATCAAAGTGGTCAACCAAAAACGCCAAAATACATGGTACAAAATTAGTTTGTTGTTTCTCTTCTTCGAATTCTTTATCCACACTCTATAAAATTAATCAATTTAAGTTCAAGAAAACCAAGAAAACCATGTAAACTTGCATGACAATAAACAATTCAACGTATTATTGCATGACAACGTATTATTGCATGAATATTATAAGCAACAATCAAATTAAAACCTATCATAAAATTGACCATGCAAAGATTAATTAATCAAAGAAAGTGTCTGAAGCAAGTGGTCATTTATTACAATGATGAAAAGTAGTTGAGTCCTTGTATGAAAGCGCTTAAATCCCGTTGGTGACTAATTTAACAAAATCTATCGTTTGATCGAGAAAAAAAAAAAAAAAGTGTCTGAAAAACTAGCATGCACGAACATTAATCCAAACAATTTAAACCACCACATATACTATAATATAAACCTATGCTGGCACTTCTGTTTTTTTCTTCTTCCTTCAATTTTTTATATTTTAACCTGAAATTCTGTGTTTTGTTTCTTAAGCCTGCAGATGCTTAACCTAAGGTGGATATATGTCTTAATCTGCAGCCAAAAACAAAGGATAAAATGATTTACATAGTATAAATAAAAATTTAGCTATAATATCTGCTGCCAGTTCTGTTTTTTCTTCTTCCTTCAATTTTTTTAACCTTAAATTCTGTGTTTTTATCTTAAGCCTGCAGATGTTGGACCTAATTAAGGTGGATTACATGTCTTAATCTGCAGGCAGAAACAAACAATAAAATAATTTATAACAAATGGAGTCTTCAACTCCAATTACTTGTTTGGTAACGTGGTTTTTCTAATTCCTAAACTATCCTCGTTTGGTAGGGTAAGTAAAGTAATGGCGTGACGTGATGGGAAGGTTTGGACATTACTTTTCCTTCCATTTCCTTCTTTGTTCAAAATTATTCAATTAATCAAATTTTGTCCTAGTACTTGTTCCACCTTAAAACCAAAAATCATTTTCCATTTTCAAACACCTTGGTATACTTTTGGAATTTCTCAATCGTCAAGTCTTGAAATTATTACCCAAAGAAGATCCGGCTCTGAGATTTTAGGTCTTGTGCAAGACTCAAACAGAGACCCTTATAAGGTCTAAAATTTTAGTTGTTATATATATATATATTTTTTTTTTCTTTGTTTTATTATGTGTAAATTGATATAACGCAAAAGAAAATAAATAAAAATGAAGCATGGCGTGGTGGTTAGGGTACCTATCTGCATCCCCTATGTTTTTGGAATAGATAAGAATTGCAAGAACTACACTAGTATCTGGTTAACAGATGCACCTTTAGGTAGAATAAAATTGTAAATCAAGAGTCTCTCGAACTAGAGGCCCTATGTGATGGCACTACTTACACACCCTTAAAGTCGGTTGTTCCGAAAGAGAGCATTTGCATCATACAATGGAATTAGTTTGGAAATTAAATATGAGGGGGTTGCCAAAAAATAAAAAACATAGCAAGTTACCAACTTTACATGTAACTAGAGTGATGTCGATGTTGAATACTCAAATGTTGAAGGTGTTCATATGCTTGATAATAGTTAATACACATTTTTCTTTTGACATCACTTGCTACCTACTCATGGAGAGTGGTGATTTAATTTTTTTTTTCCGAAGATTAAAATAATAAAACTACGTGACTTTGTTGCAATGATAAAAAAATTTATCCTCACACTCGAAGTCATAGAAAACGCTCTATTGACCAGAACAATCTACAAGGTGCAAGCACGAATTCTCTCTTTGCGCAATATTATATGTGTCAAATGATCCCTTAATTAAAATCTCAACAACAAACATAAAACTTGATAAATAAATTTACACAGCTCTTAAATAGCACCACATGGCAATCTGCATAATTACAAAAATGGCGATGTAATTAACCAACTAATAAGACAATCAAACAAGAACAAAAGAAAAAGGAAGGCAAAGTAAGAAGCAAAGGTTAACAAGACTACGTACCAAAACATCAGTTTGTTCATAACTTGGAACCAAAGCAGATCCCTCCAACCCAAGAAACATAAAAAAAAAAAAAAAAAACAAACACAAAATCTCCAGAAAGTAGAAAAAAAGAGAGGCAAAAGTAAAAACCCATTTCATTCAATTTTGTCCCACATTTTAATTTCGATGAGATTGCAATCAAAACTCAAATGGGTTTTCTGGGTCTGAATCAAAATCAATACACCGAAAAAGGGGAGATTTTTATGGAGAGCGGCCAATCTGCTGCGCCGAGCAGCTTAGATATAAAGGTGGTGCGTCCACGGCGGAGCGACAACGTTGTGCAACCGGCGGGGCAAGGTTCGGTGACGCCGCAGCCGCGGCGGTCGTTCAGCGACTACAACCCGTTCAAGAGTTGGGTGTCATGGCTGGTGCCGTTGATTGTGGTGGCCAACATTGTCGTTTTTGTGGTGACAATGTTCGTGAACGATTGCCCCAAGAACTCCGGCAGGTGCATTGGTCGGTTCCTCGGCCGCTTCTCCTTTCAGCCCTTCAAGGAAAACCTGTTTCTTGGGCCATCTTCAAACACGTAAAGCTTCACTCCTTGATTAGTTTCTATGCGTATGAATTTGTTGGGATTTGCAGTTTGGATTGAAATTTGTGTTTTCGGATTGGCTGGGTGTTTGCATGTCGAAATTTTGAAAATTTTAGTTGTGGATTGGGGTGGAACTGCGGGAAGCCACAGTGGCAGTGAACCTGTTTCATGTAAGTTGATCTCGTTTCTATGTTTTTGGTGAAATTATGATGAGAAGGGTGGGATGGTTGGATTGATTTTGATTTGAAATTAGAGTGGGATCAATCAAGGATGAGACTCTTTAAGGTAAAAGTAACTGAAAGTTATGTATTTACACTTTTTGTAAAAAACTTTTGACTTGGTGATTTGGAATTTCGGTTAGACTAGATATATTTGTAAAGAAAATGGTTGAACAGTACGAAGATTGATGTAATTCTGCTTTTAATTAATGTTGGACTTAGGAAAACTAATGAATACAGAAGCGAATTTACGATTAGTTTAGAAACTTAAAGGAGATGGGCAACTTTAGTTTTAACTTTTATGTATTTATTAACATTCAGACAATACTTGATGTCTATTTGATGTTGGCATATGGGAAATGCTTGATCAAAGAAGAAAGGTGCTCGAAGAGCTGCAAGTGTTGAGCTGCCTTGTTTGATTAGATTGTTGTGTTATTCAAAATGTCCCCTGTAATACGTTACAAGGTTAAAGTTTTACATTAGTGTTCTTTAGCAACTTACTTGCAAAATTTTTGTTCGATTTTCCTTGCCCTGTGAGGCCAATGGTAGAATGATTATGGAAAAATGAATTTTCTTTTTGTCTTAATATTTCTGGTAAGAGGGAGTATGCATTCTTCAAGGACTTGTTTGTGATTCTTTTTAGCTGTTTAATGTGCTCATTTCAGTATGCATCATCCAAAGTCTATGAATGCTAGAACTTGTAAATTTGTGATTTAAGGGGGAGGGAGCAATTGGAAATAAGAGCCATAGACATGCCCCATAAGGGTCAATAGGTCTCAGTTGCATATCTAACTTGTTTCCCATGTGTTTTCATCCTGAAGATTAGAAAAGATGGGTGCTCTAGATGTGCAGAGAGTGATTCATCAACACCAGGGGTGGCGGCTGATCTCATGTATGTGGTTACATGCTGGAGTTTTCCATGTGCTTGCCAATATGCTGAGTCTTTTATTCATTGGAATTCGGCTTGAGCAAGAATTTGGATTTGGTATGCCTCTGGATTTTCAGCTTCATGTATGTCATCATGCATGTACAGCCACATTTACAGATCTTTGTAGTAAAAGATAAAGCACAAAAGACAGTAAATTATAAAATATAAATTAGGTACCAAGTGCAAAACTTCTTTCATAATTCTAGAAGAGAAATACTTTCCGGATGTCTTTAGCTACCTTGCAATTAATCTACAGAGGATTTCTGAGCATGAATTTTGTGAATTATAATCGTAGAGTAGTGGTCAGTAGTGTTGTTTGCATTATAACTCACACCAGTATGTTGATAGGTTTGATGGAAACAAGAGGACATTTTATTTGAGCAAAGAAGAGAGTTTATACACCTAAGCTGGGGTTCAAGAGAAACCTTTTTGTGGAAGTAGCTTGGCAGGCTATTCAAACTTTAGTTTAGACATGGTATTACATTTTAGAGAATAAAATTGCTTGGAACAAAAGCTGATAGATTATTATATCCTGTACGTGTAGACATAGTGCCTCAATATTTTGAAATGTCTAAAAAAATAATAGTTTGATGCTGATCTATATCATGTACAGTTGTTTTGACGAACTTGATTAAATTTTTTGGTTTGAAACTAATGTTTTTCTGATTTGTTTTTCTGCAGTTCGAATTGGTGTTCTATATGTCATGTCCGGTTTTGGCGGGAGTTTGCTTTCAGCTCTTTTTATTCAATATGGTATTTCTGTTGGTGCTTCTGGTGCACTTTTTGGTTTACTAGGAAGCATGCTTTCGGAGCTCATATCAAATTGGACAATGTATGCAAACAAGGTAAATAAAGTTTCTGTATATTCAACGATGCACTCTTTATAGTATATGCACGACCCTTTGATCTTACAGTTTCAGATTTCTATCCGCAGTTAGCAGCATTGCTTACTCTCGTTTTCATCATCATAATAAACTTAGCAGCGGGGCTTCTACCACACGTGGACAACTTTGCTCATATTGGAGGATTTGTTTCTGGATTTCTTTTTGGATTTGTGTTTTTGATCCGCCCCCAGTTTAAATGGCTTACCCAACGGAATGCTCCCCCAGGACTTATTACTACTCCAGTTAAATCCAAACACAAGACGTATCAATATGTATTGTGGGTCCTCTCACTGATACTATTGACTGTTGGGTAAGCTCCTCCTCGATCCCTGAAATTTAATTATTTGACTTCATAAACCTAATGCCCTGCATGTGGTAGGCACAGTTGATGCGTGCGCAGTTTCTGATCGAATCAGGGTACTTGATTTTGTACAGATGTGAAGATATTATGCATCCTGTAATATTTCTTCGTTACTGTCATTGTGAATAGTCTCTGTATCTGCTTGTTTCTAATCAGAATGGTTTGGAGAAGGCCCTTGTGTTATTGCTGTTCTCTATGTTGTGATACTAATTGGTCACTCCGTTGATAGCAGGTTCTACTTTGTTGTTTTGGGTTGTATGTGTTGGCAGTACTTAGTTGTTTTGTTATTGGAAATAAAAGTTCAGTTTCTTTGTACTTGTGTAGTATCAGTATATGCGGGCATTTTCTGATAGAAGTCATGTTTTTGACAGGTATACTCTTGGCCTGATTACCCTTTTTCGAGGGGTCAATCTAAATGATCACTGTTCCTGGTGTCAGTATATGAGCTGCATCCCTATTTCAAAACGGAGTTGCAAATCACAAAATGTTTATTGTTTGGTAATATGCTGTACTTTTCTGCGCATATTTACTTCTGCCTTAATATTTGATAGTTGGAATCATAGAAGTGCTTGCTTATTTATGTGATTATGGTTGCATTCAATCCTTCTAGTTTCGGCATTCCGTTTAATCTAATGTCTTCAGGAAACTTAATTTAAGAAATGACTCGAGAAATTCTGAGTTGGAAATTGCTTCTTCAAGTTAGTACTAGAAATTGGTTTTGTACTGACATATTGTTCTGTATGTGCACCAATCTTGCAGTCGAGCCAGATAGGGAATCAACTGAACTTAACGTGCGTAAGCAATGGTAGAAATGGGACATATTCGTTGTTGGATCCCAGCGCCTCCCGGGCTCAGCAGCTATGCACTGAGCTTTGCAGTTGACCATACACGTACAAATTCCCGAGTTGATAGAACGTTGATTCATATGATTCATTCTTATATCTGTAGGAAGTATTCTTTTTTCTTTTGTTTTTTGTTGGGTAAACATAGTCTTGTGTATTCACCAAGCAATGGTTATCTTGCCATTATTCTTTTCTTCTTTTACTGCCTTTTGTACCATCTTTCTACTATTCATGACAGTTGAAACACGTACCGAAACTATGAAATTTACTTGCCATATCCAACTACTTAAACGCACAATTTACTCATCATACCTAAGCTTGTTTGAATGTGGAATGTTACCAACCCTCTAAGTTGGACCTTTGCGCTCTACTTCTCGGCTCTTCCTCTCATTTTGCAATTTCTGAAAGATGATCTGACATGTCTTATCTAGTTCACTTTCTAAAGATCAACTTTGTGAAAAATCAACTAAATCAGAAATCGTTTAACCATTTGATTTAGTTGTTTTAATAAATTTAAATCGTTTAAATTAGAAATCGTTTAAATTTAAAATGGTTAAATCGTTTAAATTTCAGAACTCATTCTTTGCACACAATTCTCGGAAATCGAAATTCTGTTGTGGCTTATGTAAATTGTTTAGCTTTGTCATGCATGACCAAAAAATTGGACAAACAAATTCCCATTATCACATCACCTGTCTCTCTCTCAAATGAGGATTCTGGTTGTGTAGCATGCTTGATTGCTTGAACAAGGCATTCAATCTCTTCCTTATCTTCCTAGAACATTACTAAAATATGAGCAGCCAAGCCTGTCGGCTTAATTATATTAGTTAAGTGGCTAATTACATCGCCCACATGTCTCCATGTTGTAAAATCTTTGATCCATCCTCAAAAGTCAAGCCTTTCCCGCCGGCCGGCTTAAATGAACTCTTCTCTTAACTTCATGCCATATATACATAAAGAGTTGCTAATTTCTCCGGTTAACATTTGAAGGCAATGAAATAATTTACGCTTTATGTGGATGTCATATGCTTTTTATCTTCTTATTCTCTGTCACTAGTTGACTTTATACACTTTCTATTTGAATTAGCCATGGGAGTCCAATTACAATACAAAAATACATTTTTGTCCCTCATACAGTTGTTATGTGACGTCCGTCTGACCAAAATAGATGAAAAATTAGATAATTTTTTTTTAAATCTAACGCCGGGTTAAAATTGACTATTTATAAAAGTTTAGGAGGATAATCGGCTAAAATTAAAGTTCAAAGAGAAATTGGCAACTAATAAGTTATCTTGTTATTGTGCGTGCTTAATGATCCAGGTTCTTCCAGTCATATGTATAAATTAGCTTAAGCTGAAATGCAATTTACCAATTTCACATCGCGCAACCGATAATTCACAATGGAGATTTTGGTTGTGAAATTTATCCTAGCTTACTTATCAGTTTGCAGTGCAGTGACTCTTGCATGCTGTGGGAGCTCCAATGAGACGGACAGGCTTGCATTGCTAGCCATCAAGGATCAAATCATGGAGGATCCTCATCAAATCATGAGCTCCTGGAACGAATCCGTTCACTTTTGCATGCGGCGTGGTGTCACATGCGGTCGACGGCATCAACAGAGGGTGACAAGGCTGGAGCTTCAAGGTCAAAATTTGGTGGGATCCCAATCCCCACACATAGGTAATCTGAGTTTCCTAAGGATACTACAGCTGCAAAACAATAGCTTTAGTCATGAAATTCCTTTAGAAATTGCGCATTTGCACAGATTGCAGGCACTATATATATATTCAATAACTCATTCACTGGCTCTATTCCAAGCAACATATCATATTGCTCCAACCTCGTCTTTTTGAATTGGGTTTCAACAGGCTGGTTGTGGAACAATTCCTCCAGAGATTGGGTCCTTGTCGAAGCTTCAACAATTGGTTTTACAAAGTAACAATTTAACAGAAGAGATCCCTCCTTCCTTGGGTACCCTTTCGTCTCTCGAGGCATTTGCTGCCTATGGTAATAACTTGATGGGAAGCATCCCTAGTTCTCTAGGTCAACTGAAAAGGTTAACATTTTTGTCATTGGGCATAAACAACTTGTCTGGTGTCATCCCTCCATATATAACCTTTCTACTCTCCAAGCTTTACACGTAGTATTTAACCGAATTCAAGGGACTCTTCCCTCGGACTTGGGAGAAACTCTTCCTAATATCCAAGTTCTTAACATTGCCCCATATCAATTTACCGGATCCATTCCTCTCTCAATATCCAATGCTACAAGTGTACCGACCTTTCATGTTGGCTTCAACAATCTAACTGGGCAGGTACCCAACCTCCAGAAGCTTCATAACCTCCAACATTTTAACATTCAAAATACTCATCTCGGAAGCGGCAAGGAAGGTGACTTGAATTTTCTCTCGGACTTGACGAATGCCACAGAGCTAATATGGCTGATTATGCCTGTGAACAACTTCAGAGGAACGCTTCCCACATCAATATCCAATCTATCACCCACGATTGAAAGATTTTGGGTTTACACAAAACCAACTAGATGGAAGCATCCCAGTTGGCATGGGGAAATGGATCAACCTGCAATCGTTGGCTATGGAGGACAATAACTTCACAGGTGATATCCCCTCGGACAGTGGGGAGCTTTCGAGACTTGCAGAATTAGACTTTTCAGCAAATGAATTAACTGGAAGCATTCCGTCCTCTCTTGGGAACTTAACCAAGTTAGGCAGACTCTTCTTGCAAAGAAATAATCTTCAGGGAATCATCCCTTCAAGCCTAGGCGAAATCCAGCGGAATTGGGATCTTTCATATAATAACCTTAGTGGCACAATACCTCCAAAAGTTCTCAGCCTCTCCTCCTTATCAATATATTTGAACTTGTCTGCAAACCATTTTACAGGTTTCCTTCCCATGGAGGTTGGAAAGATGACCAGTCTAGGTGAGCTGGACATTTCTGATAACATGTTAACCGGAGAGCTTCCGAGCAGCCTTGGTAATTGCGAGAGTTTAGAAGTTCTACACTTGCAAGGAAACTTGTTTAAGGGGTCTATTCCTTCATCTATGGCAGCGTTGAGAGCTATTCGAGATTTAGACCTTTCTCGTAACAATCTTTCAGGTGAAATTCCACAATTTTCAGATGATCTTGTATTCTTGGTGAATCTGAACCTGTCATTCAACGAGTTTTGGGGGTCCGTACCAACTGAAGGTGTATTAAAAAATGCTTCTTCAATTTCAATTGTTGGAAATACAGGGCTCTGTGGAGGGATTGCTAATCTTCAGTTGCCTAAATGCAACTCTAAAGGGTCCACAAAAGGAGGATCATCTCGTAACCTTAAATTAATAGTCCCACTAGTATCCGGACTTGCATTTCTAGGAATAGCAATGGCGCTGTCCTATTTCTTTCTTTGCTCGCCAAGAAAAAACATTGAAGAAACTCCGAGGAGGACTTTGACGAACACTTATTTGCAAGTGTCGTATTCTACTCTCCAACAAGCTACTGGTGGATTCTCTTCGACTAATTTGATTGGTGTGGGTGGTTTTAGGTCTGTATACAAAAGAGTTCTTACTGATAAGGATGATAAAACTGATCAACTTGTTACTGTGAAAGTGTTTGACCTGTTACGCCATGGAGCATCAAAGAGTTTCATAGTTGAATGTGAGACTCTAAGAAATATCAGGCATCGAAATCTCGTCAAGATTATAACTGCATGCTCAAGTGTTGATAATCATGGCAATGATTTCAAGGCTCTAGTTTATGAGTTCATGGAAAATGGGAGCTCAGAGGAGTGGTTGCATCCACCTACTGATATTGAAGCGATAGGAGATCATACACCCAAGAATTTAAATCTTCTTCAGAGGCTAGACATTGCTATAGATGTTGCTTTTGCAGTAGATTATCTTCATAATCATTGTGAAACACCAACAGTTCATTGTGACCTCAAGCCAAGCAATGTTTTTCTAAACGCCGAGTTGACGGGACATGTTTCTGACTTTGGATTAGCAAGGTTTCTCCCACCACTATCAAGTAATGTCTCAGCAAATCAAACCCAGACAAGTTCAATTGGAATACGAGGAACAGTTGGTTATGCTGCTCAAGGTCCGTATCCTCATATCCTATATGCATAATACAAGTGAAGATATTTTTGTTTTTATATATTTACAATTGTGGTCACATTGTTGTTTTCTTATATTTGTATGTAGAGTATGCTATGGGAAGTGAGGTCTCAACAAATGGAGATGTCTACAGCTTTGGCATTCTCCTATTGGAAATTTTTACAGGGAAGAGACCCACTGACAACATGTTTAGTGACAACCTGAACCTCCATAATTTTGTCAAGATGGCTGTCCTTGGACGAGTTTCCGAGATTACAGATGCACCACTTCTTCAAGGATACACAAATGAGACTCCCAATCAAAGCAGCTCGAATGTTCAAAAAATTGAGACATGCTTGAGCTCCATATACAAAATTGGAATTGCATGTTCTGTTGAATCCCCAAGGAATCGACTACAGAATATCAATGATGCTGCATCTGAACTCCAATCCATTAGGAACACTCGTCTTGCATAGAAACTTCTTTTACGAGGTTTTGTGAGAGGGAAATGGTCATGTGCTGCGTGTGAAGTATTCTATCTTGTTGGAGCTACAGTAGATGTGGTAATTTGCATAGTGAATAATGAACAACGACTCGATGAGGTTCTTGTGTGAAAACTACACTATTTCTTGTATTGCCTAGATCCCCCTATGTTACTTAAAAGGAAAAGAAAAGTCTATCACTTTTTGTTCTATTATGTATATATTCTGCATAACATTGCATCTAATTTGTTATCCAATTCAATCCAAATCTCGACTCTAACCGAGGCTTATACATAAACATAATAATTTGCTTGGTTGGGAAGCTTCTGGATTATTTCATGGAGAGTTAAACAGTCTATGTATTTGCTAGAATAGATTAACTAAACAACTTTAGTTTTAATTCATTTTTTACAGAAATGGTTTTTACAATGTGATTTTTAATATGAACGGTTCTGATCATAAGCACAAACTCTGTAATTCGAACACGAAGAGTTTTTGAATAAGAATTCATACTCATCTGTAACCAAATATTGTTCTTGTAATAATATAAATAAATTTAACTGACTTAGTTTATAAACATTTTCTTTATTCACTTTCTTGGCAGTAAGGGACAGTAGTCGTTGGAAAGAAATGTCAAAGACTCAAAGTTTAGCTCGTGCCACGAATTTGTTGATTAAATTTAAAACCAATTGATTATTCCTATTCACTCTTTCGATATTGACTCTCTGGCCCTCAAAATCTACATGGTCTTCAAATTAGACTAAAATTCTCTCCCCTGTCATTTCCTTCCCATTTTCTCCTTTCTTCAAAATCTACATGATCCCACTCCCTTCAAATTTATTACCGCTTGCATTTCTCTTCAAGTTTAGTAGTTGTTCAATGTTCAGGGCCGACTTGCTTGACATCTATTTTCCAGGATGATATTATGTTTGGTTAATTTCTGGAGTCAATTTGCTTCCTTGTCCCGTTTTGGAATAGTACATCTTGGTCCTTGGAGTTTATAGAAAATTCGGACCTGCTGTTGTCAACATTGTAAGCATGCATTTAAGTTTCGTCTACGGAAGAACAAGTCAAAGTGGTTGTCATTTGAATTTTCACGAACCAGAAACTGCAATGTAGGTTCCTCTTATCTTTCTACAAACTTTTCTTGTCATTTGCATCTCAAATGAAACTTACCAATTTCACAATCCAATTCAGAAATGAGGGTTTTCATTGTGAAATATGACAAAATAATATACAACTTATACATGGGATATTCCAACCCTAATATTATCAAGGTTTGTTGTGATAAAACTCAACATCTAGCAATATGAGGTTAAGTTAGGACAATATCGGTGATATTGATGGTGGACCATGCTAAGTCTACAAAGTTTATCAGTGATGGATCCAGGGATCCTCTTGGTTCCCTGGGACCCTACGAAGAAAGTCGTCAAAGGACCCTATGACCATCTGGTATGAGACCTGAGTATACCCACAAATTGTTCGATGAATACCTTTTAGGCAGAAAAAATGCCCCCACGTGCTCGACTAAATTTCTCAATGAAAAGGCTGTGCGTGCTTGAATCTTAAATTGAAACCCCATGTGATTAGAGTCTTGAATCTGCCATTGCATATGTATACACATACATTTGGATGGAAGTGTTCACAGACTATATTTATCTGGAACAGAATGATATTTTTGTACATAGTTAATCAATTTAAAATGAATTAAAACATACCAAATTAGTGTTCACAGTTAAGACCCCTCATAACTTACAGACTTCAAATTCCCATTCATAACTAGGGTTGCTCTGTTAGGGTAATTTTTATATTGGGTGATGCCAATGTGAGATCTAATGTGAGTGAGACGCTTCACATTGGATGAGATCTGAGGTCAGATGAGGCCAAATACATGATCTTCCACCTGGTTAGTAATGTGTTTTTTGTTCTCTCTCCGATACTAATGATTGTTGTGTGAGCTTCTCGATCCCTCAAATTCAATTATTTGACCTCATATACCTTAAATTGATTCCCGGCCGGCCTTGTGAGAATTTTGAAGGCTTATTTGATGAGTATTTATTGCATCGCTGTGCAGAAGAGATATGCTAGGCAGATTCGCCTCAAAAGCAAGTTTCTAACAATTTGCTGGACAAGTGTCCCTTCTATCGCAACAATTAATATTCATGTTTGGGTCCATTAAAATAACAAAAAAAAATGTTAAAATTGTTCTCTCTCTCCTCCAACCTATCGTCTCTCCAACCCGATGAACTCAAACAATCTAAAGAGACCAAGAAACGAAGATTGTCTCATAGCTTGAAACTAATACGCCCTTTAGTATTTGGACTTAATCTTCTAGGAATAGCTAGCCATGGTGTTCTCCTATTTCTTTCTTTATTCGTCAAGAAAGAAAACGATAGAAATTTCACTGAGCACTTTGGAGAACATTATTTTGCAAGCGTCATATGCTACTCTACTTAAAGCTACTGATAGGTTCTCAACGGCTAATTTAATTGGTGCCGATAGTTTGGGGTCTGTGTACAAAGGAGTTCTTGATAATAATGATAATGCTCATGATAGTTTGGGGTTTGTGTACAAAGGAGTGATCGATGATAATGATAAAGCTCAACTTGTTGCCGTGAAGGTGTTTAACTTGTTACGCCGTGGAGCTTCGAAGAGTTTCATAGCTGAATGTGAAGTTTTGACAAATATTAGGTGTGGTAGTAAAAGTTCATCGTCTTCACTCTTGAAATTGTACTTACAAATAATTAAACATCTTTGGACAAAAACCAAAGCCACACGCCCAAGGAGTGGAGAGAGTTTGGCCAATGGATCTTTGATGCCTAAGTTTCTCTAAAAAGAGCGAGTTTAGAGCTTGAGTTTATGGTTTCAACTTACTTGAGAAGTGCAGAATAAGGAGTATTTATATGGTTTGGCTGGGCACATAGGGTGAGGGATCTCACGCCACATGTCGGCATTCAGTTGGCTAAGTTGTGTCATCCATTGGATGAGGAAGTAGTCTTTCATGAGGAAAGCTTAAAGGTAGGATTTAGTTATTAATTCTACTTTTAATTCCCTTGTCTTATCTCTTTGCCATGGGCAGAGGAGTTTGGAGATAGTGTGTTCAACAACTCGTATCTTTTTGGTTGTTGATATATGCATGGAACAGATGAGGGCCTTACCAATTTAATAAAGGTTATTCTCATCAATCATGAACAAAAGTCCATGTGTCAGCTCTAAGATTTTTTAATTATTTTTTACTCCACAAATGGAAGGTGCATGAGGTGTAGAAATCCCAAGTTGAGTGGGCTAGCAAAAAGTGGATTCCTTGTCTGCTTTGAATTTTGAGCTCACGTGTAGTAAAGTATTGTGGGTGATGAATACCAACTGCCTCTAGAATTTATTTAACTATACCTTAAATAAAGGATTAAATAAACCTAGAGAGCAATTATTTTCCAAACACGAAAGATAGAAAACCAGAGAATTGTTCCCCTTCTCCCAGTTTTTTCTTTGCTTGCTTCATGAAGAGTTGATCATCGTCATTGGTAGCGCCTCCAAGGAGTTTTTGATGATGATGATAATAATAGAGCTCAATATGTTGCAGTTAAGGTGATTGATTTGTTCCGCCGTGGAGCATCAAAGAGTTTCATAGCCGAGTGTGAGGTTTTGATAAATATTAGGCATGAAAGAGTTTAATTCTAACAATAAGGTTGACTAGGGACCAAAACCTAAATGATCATATTATAATTCTGTGTTCAAATGTTGATTTTCAGGGTAATGATTTCAAGGCTCAAGTTTACGAGTTCACGGACGACGGGAGCTTAGAGGAGTGGTTGTATCCACATTATGGAACTAAAGAGTTAAGAGGCCAAATAACATGATTGACTGGTGGAAATTTTATTTTGAAGAGTCATGTACCCAAGAATTTAAATCTTCTTCAGAGGCTAGAAATTTCCATTGGTGTTGCTTGTGCATTGGAGTAACTTCATAATTATTGTGAAACGCAGATAGTTCCTTGTGATTTCAAGCCAAACAACGTTCTCTTGAACAACGAATTGATTGGACATGTGTCTAACTGGATTAGCAAGGTTTCTCTCACAAGTAACGAGAAATGTTTCAGCAATTCAAAGTCAGATAAGTTTCGTTGGAATAAGAGGAATGGTTGGTTATGCAGCTCTAGGTAAATATCTTAGATATATACTTCATTATATTTCCTCTTTTATTTTGGAGTATTGACTTTACAAAATTCAAACTGAGCTATTAGAAGAGAATGTTTTGAATGATATGTTTATTCTTCTCAAGAAGAGGTATAATATACAATCCTAAGCCTAATCAAATAGGGAAGAATAATTACAAGAGATTACAAAGAGATTTCTCCCAGATTACACGGGATCCATCATAAACTAGGAAATCCTAAATTATAGAAAACTATACAAGTCAACACTCCCCCTCAAGTTGGTGCATATATGTTACACATGCCCAACTTGTCCAAAAACTTGGAAAATTTTTCACTAGAAACTGCTTTGGTGAGAATGTTAGCTATTTGATCTCCCGTTCTGATTAAAGGCATTTCAATTATTTTACCCTCTGGCTTTTCTTTAATAAAGAATCTGTCAATCTCTATCTTCACCGGATTATGAACTATTTGCGAGTAGCTTTATTATCACAAAACAACTTCATCGGTTGACTATGTTTGACACCTAAATCTCAGTAGTAGTTTAAGCCATAAAATCTCACAAATACCAAGGGCCATACTTCTGTATTCTGCTTTTGCACTTGATCTTGCTACTACTCCCTGCTTCTTGCTTTTCCAAGTAACTAGATTTCCACCAATAAAGGTAAAGTAACTTGATGTTAAACGCCTATCATCACTCGAACCGGCCCAGTCAGCATATATATAACCTTCAATACTAAAATGACCATTCTGCTTAAACAAAATCCCTTTTCCCCGAACTTCCTTTCAAATAACTCAATATCCTCATAACTGCATTCATGTGTTGTTCTCCTGGATTATGCAT